GTGTGTGTGTGTGTGTGTGTGTGTGTGTGTGTGTGTTTGGTGGGAGAATCAGAAGAACTGGGTTCTGGCTGGAATGTCAGTGCACTAGTTGATTGGTGTGTCTGTGTGTGATCATCTAAAATTAAGCCTCAGTTTCTTGGCTCTAATGAGAATTATTTTCATGTTGGAGTCGATGGAGTTACCAATGGGTTTGGTGTATGAACCTCCTGAAATAGTGCTGCCATTTTGTGTGGCAGCAGAAATGTATTCCTGTCACTGCTGGCATGAAGGTTGCAGTTTTTATCAGGTTGTTAGTAGAAGGGTAGCAAATTGTAGAGAAAAGTTATGTTCTTGTCCCTGTGGCAGTTCTGTGTATCAGGTACTGTTATGATTACCATTTTTCAGATGAGGAAATTGAGATGAAGCAAGGGCAGACAACTGGCCCAAGGTCACTCACCTCATGTGCAGACTCTACCAGGTGGCCCCTCATATAGACAGCAGGAATGGTTTCATCACTCTTTAGAAAAAGGTTCTTATTAGGGTAACAAAATCGAAATTCCTGTGTCTATGTGTATTTACCCAAATATGTGAGATTGGTTATATTGCTCCTGTTAACTCCTGTAAGCATTCAAAGTACTTAGCTCTTCAGAATGATCCCATTTCTTTTTTTTTTTTGTGGTACGGGGGATCAAACTCCACACCTTGCATTTATGAGGCAGGCATGGTGCCACTGAGCTAAATACCACGCCCTAGATCCCATTTCTTTTAAGAAATAATTTATTTTATAAAGGTATAGTTGACATGTAAAAATTATATATATTTACCATTTAATACAGTATTTTGATAGATGTGCATATTCTGAAATGGCCACATCAAGCTAATCAATATCTATTAGCTCATTGTTTCTTATAGTGTATTCAGTTACTGCATTTATTTTTTGCATCTGTTATAATTATTAACTATGTATTTTGGGGGGAGGGTACTGGGAATTGAACTCAGGGCCTCAGGCTTACCAGGCAGGTGCTGCACTGAGCTACATACCTGGCCCCTATTAACTGATGTATTGAGGAGGTGATTTTTTTTTTTTTTGCTCTTTCAGTGAATGGTAGCAATTGAAATGTATTAGCTTTTTCCTAGTGTGTTATCTGTTCCTCCAGTGCCTTCTTTTAAAACCATGTATAACTTGGGAGGCTGAGGCAGGAGTATCCCTGTGAGTTCAAGGCCAGCCTGATCATAAAGCGAGACCCCGGCTCAAAACAAACAAAAAAAATAAAGCCACATATATTCAGTTGTAGAGTGAAAGTTTCTTAGATGGCAAGATGAACAAATACATAACCTACTTCTCTCAGTAAGAGATTTGAACCTACAGAAAATGTAGAAAGTGCTGGGCATGGTGTTGCATGCTATAATTCCAGCATTCAGGAGGCCAAGGCAGGAGGATCACCATGAGTTTGAGGCCAGTTTGGGCTACATAGTGAGTTCAAGTCCAGCCTGAAGTACATCATGAGATCCTATCTGGAATAACCAAAAAAGAGTGCTGGGGATTTAGTTCAGTGGTTCCATCACCTGCCTCACAAGCACAAGGACCTGAGTTTGATCCCAGTACCAAAAGAAAGAAAGTAAGAAAGGAAGAAAGAAAAAGAAGACTGGAGTATTAATTTAGGTACAAAAGTATAGAAATGGAAGAAAATAGTGTGAAAAAATAAAGCCAAAGTAGGATAGTGGCTTGTTAGCTGTGAGATTGAAGAATAAATCTAAAGCCAAAACCCAAAGCTCTCTAGCAAGCACTTTAGTCCCCCGGGACAGGCAGCGACTGTGTCACAGCCAAATGAGACGACTGGATGGCTACAGATCTCCATTACCCACTGTCTTTGCAGTTAGATAAGTTGTTGTAGTGGAAGGTGAGGATTTATTCTCTCAGCACGCAGTGTCAAAACTACCCATAGATTTTACAGACTATTTTTACTAACTTTTTCTGATGGATTTTTTTGTTTGTTTGTTTTGAGACAAAGTCTCAGTGTTAGTTCAGAATGGTTTTGAACTCACGGTGATACTCCTGCCTCAGCTTCCTGAGTGCTGGGACTATAGGTGTGTGCCACTATGCTGACTGATCAATTGTTGATTAGTCATTATCCTTGCATTAGGTAGTAAGAATTTACTAGTATACTGAGCTTGAATGAGGGACAGTATTTGGACTCCTGACCCCCTCAGTGCCTCACCTTCTTTAATTGTGCTGTCACAGATCCAGTTGTTAATGCCTAATATATGTATGTTTGTTATACCTGATGTGACAGTGTGTGCTTAGAGGAATCCACATGTGAACAGTAGTGAACCAAGATCAACTTAAAACAACTTATTTTGAGAGGATAGGTTAGGCACATATGGGCGCATAGCTTTTATTTTATCTATTAGGGAACTAGGAAATGTCTACTTAAGTCTAATAAGTACTTTCTTTGAATCTACAAGAGGCTAATTCAGTGTTCAAAGACAGTTTATTTATAATTGGGTTACTGACTTATTGAGGAAATGGGGTGTGATAATAAAGAACAAACTAAATGTTCATAATTCATTTGCCAGCTTGTTTACTCAATCAATTCTGGGCTTCTGAAACCAATAAAATAGAAGGAGCAAGATTAAATCCACTAAACCTGGTTCATATCTTTTGTTTATTTTTGTAGATAATTATATAATTGGTCTCTGTTCTCAAGAAATGTTTACTCTAGAGGAGAGATGATTTTAGAATACCCCTACGTGCAATTTCTATATACACTTGGGAAACAACTACAGACTTGTATAAGACAGTAAACACTGTTGTGCATGGTAGTACATACATGTAATCCCAGCACTTTAGGAGACTGAGGCAGGAGGATTGCAAGCTGAAGCCCAGGTGGGGCAATTTAGTGAGACCCTGTCTCAAAAGTAGAAAGGGCTGGGGGTGTGGCTCAGTGCAAAAGCTCTGGGTTCAGTCCCTAATATCCAGTACTACCATTAAAAAAAAAACAGTATATTAAGGGGATGGTGTGGCCATACACTCTGGAGGAGCTGTAGGGCTGGGGATTGCTGGAAAGTCTGCCTGAAGTGTGTTCTGTCTTGTTTTATAGACTTTCTGCCTGGAGCAAGGGGCTGCTTCCCTGTGGCCGAGGACTGACTCAAAGACCCCAGGACCCTGGGAGACAGGGACTCTTACGTATCCAGGAAGGCAAGCATGGATTTTCCTTTTCATACCTGTGCAGTGCAAACCCCTGTTTTCCTTTGAGCTGGGAGGTGCATAGAATGTTGCTGTAGGGGTCATGAGGCCCACCTATTTCTAAATATCTCATTTCTAAAGTGACCAAGAGAGCTGCATGACTGCGGGACAAACCCGTTCAGAGTCCGAGCTATTGTTCCTGGAGCCTTGGGAACTGAGCTCTTTGAGTGAAATGATGTCTACTTCCTGTGTGTAGGTTTGGAAGGCTCGGAAGAGGCATGCAGAAGAGCCAAGCTCGTCAGTTGTACCACCTAAATACTCCTAGTCCATAGTTTTGTTAATCCATACTAAATTGAAGTTTATTTAACTTGCTAATATGATACGAAAACTATGGATTGCCTTTCTCAATTTTGGAGTATTCATTATAATTAAAATTGTGGCTTTTTAGGCTGGGTGTGGTGGCGCACACCTGTAATCCCAGCCCTCGGGAGGCTGAGGCAGGAGGATTGCTGTGAGTTCGAGACCAGCCTGGGCTACATAGTGAGTTCCAGGGCAGTCTCAACTACATAGTGTGACCCTGTCTCAAAAAAGCAAATGTAAAAACAAAATTTAAAATTTTACTTCTTTCTTGGCTCTCAATATCTACCTCTTCTCACACTGACTAAACTAGTAATCATTTTATATTAACAAGCATCAGCAGTTTGCTTACAGTTTGGGATATTTTGTGTCTATTATTTAAGGAACGCAATAGGAAAAAGTCAGAGATAAGAGTAATTTACTAATGGTTATTTTTTGCAGTTAAACAAAATTTAAAATTTTACTTCTTTCTTGGCTCTCAATATCTACCTCTTCTCACACTGACTAAACTAGTAATCATTTTATATTAACAAGCATCAGCAGTTTGCTTACAGTTTGGGATATTTTGTGTCTATTATTTAAGGAACGCAATAGGAAAAAGTCAGAGATAAGAGTAATTTACTAATGGTTATTTTTTGCAGTTCTTTATGATGTAACTAATTAAGTGTGTGCATCACATTTGTGACGTATGCACAGTTGTTTGATAGAAAAATCAGCCGTTGTGCATAAAAGTTAAAGTGCATGTTAATCTAACTATATTTCATTTTAATTGTTTAGTTGTTGTAGGACCAAGGGTAGCTATAGGTAATTTCCCATGACTGGAATATATATTTTGAAATGCTAGGGAAAAAATGTGACATCATCACTGGTTGAAATATACTGTAGGTTTATTTTTAATCTTGGATTACTACTGATTATCTAATTGATTTCCCCTTTATTTTATAGCACGTTCACCTATACATGTGAATCATGGTGTGTGTGGTAATTAGTATCAACTTTTCTGTGAAGTGCTTACATTTTGTTTTAAGCTAATTCATTCTTGCACAGTGGGCATTAACTAAAATTGTATTCTTTGCCTTATCTTTATTTGTCTTTGCTTTATTTTTCTAGCTTAAGCTCTTTTAATAATTAGGATAGTATAAACACGGGAGAAATCAGTTATGATTAGACTCAGATTTGGATATTAATATTACTCTCTAAAACAAGTAATTTGATTTAATATTGCTTACAAAAAGATGGCTAGAAGCTGGGTGTGGTGGCACACGTCTGTAATTCCAGCAGTTTTGGAGGCTGAGGCAGGAGGATTACTAATTGGAGCCCAACCCAGGCAATTTAGTAAAACGCTGTCTCAGAATAAAAACATTAAAAAGCTGGGTGTAGTGGTGCACACCTATCATCCCAGTGCCTTGGGAGGCTGAGACAGGAGGACTGCAAGTTTGAGGCCAGCCTAGGCAATTTAGCATGACCTTGTTTCAAAATAAAAAACACAAAAGTGCTGGGGATGTAGGTCAGCGTGAAGGCCTTGGATTCAATCCCAAGTCCTTTAAAAAATAGAAAAAAGATGGTGGGTCCTATTCATACTATCTTCATCATAATGGGACTTAGGGCTGGTGGTAGATCACTTGCCCAGTATGTGCAAGGGCCTGGATTCCATCCCTAGCACTGCAAAAACAAACAAACAAAAAGACCAAAAAAAGGAGAAAAATCACTCAACTCCTAACACTCCCATTGAATGGATAATTGAACTTACTCTTTTTTTGTTGTTTCTTCATATAAAATCCAACGATTACATTCTGGGGATGTAGCTCAGCAGTGCCACACCTACCTGGCAAGCGCGAGATCCTGAGTTTGATCCTCACTGTGGAGAAAAAAAAAATCCAGTGATTGCTTCAAAGCTATTCATTCCATCTGCAGTAAGGAGACTGTATAGGTGTTTCAGCTTTTTAGGAAGCAGAGACCCAGTCCCTTCCCTGAGCTGTTTGTTGCAAATGGGAATGCATGAATCTTGAAATCTTCTGAGCACATGACTCACTTTTCTTAGCTCGAACTCACTGCAGTAATCCAGTTTTCATGTCTTTGTTTCACGGAGTGACTTCTTTATTTTTGTTGCAGTTCGGGACAAGCTGCGGGAGATCGTAGGCGCATCCACAAACTGGAGGTATGCTCTCCTGTGTGTGTTTGCCAGCTCCAAAGTATGGGCTGAGGCTGTAGTTAGGTGCAGGTGAAAGGCAGGTGGAGAGCTGTGTTTGAAGAGGGACCAAGAGATTATTTTTACATGGGGAAAAAGAGCAACATTTTAATACATGTATCAATTGATGCACTGCTGTCAGAAAATACCACGATTTATACATATTCCGCATTTTTCAAAGTTGTTCATGTATTTTTATGTCACTGAATTCATAACAAACCTTGTGACATGCTTATGGCCTGTGTTCCTCTTCCACTTTTATGCATGAAACTGAAACTCAGAGTCAGGGTTTGGGATTTGAACCCAAGTCTCCTGTTTTTTTTTTTTATTTTATGCAACTTGACTGCTTTATTACCTCTTGCAATTGACAGTTACTCAAGTTTCCCATATTTCTGTTTTGCTAAATATTTCCCTGCTGTAAAACAAAATTATATCCTCTTGGCTAAAATGAGGTAAGAGAATGGACAAGTGATCACTAGACATAAAATCTGTTGTTGGTGTGCAAATTATCTAATGATATGTTTTAAAGTCTTTTATATGAAAAACTTCAATTTACAGAAAAGAATGAATACCTCTGTACCCACCATCTGGATTCAATACTTGTTAACATTTTGCCGTATTTGCCAGTGTACACATATGCACTGAACCATTTCTAAGTAAGTTATAGACATCCTGACACTTTAGCATGCATCTCCAGTAAAGAAACACTTTCTTTTCTATCACAAAGTCAGCCTTCGTGTATCTCGGATAAATAAGGCATTCTCTTGTGTATTGAAATTGATACTAATCCCCTAAATAGTATATTACTCAACCATATTCACATTTTTAAGCTATTTTCCAAATATCTTCTATAGCTTTTTAAAGACTATCAGGATCCATTATAGGTTTTTATGATGCACCTGGTGGTTCTGACTCCCCAATCTGGAACAATTGACAATTCTTGACACCTGTCTCCCCTTTGAGTTTGGCTTTTAAGAGGCCAAACCATTTGTTTTGACCATTGGTTTTGTTTGTTTACCTGGTACCATTTAACCTGTTCTTCTATCTATTATATTTTCAGTGGGCTAAACATTTTTGGGAATACTACTTCATAAATTAATCTTAAGACATCTTAGTTAATGATATTGTCACCATTTTATTCCCCATCCCTTTCTCTTTTTTTCTTTTACCTTCCTCTTCTCTTCTTTGTCTTCCCTTTCTGTCTCCTTTTTGTTGTTTTGTTCTGCCTTTAAGAAGATAGATAGGAGCTGGGTACTTCTTGAGTATGGTCCATTTTCCTCCTCTCCCGAGGAGGGGTGTGGCACTGCATCCCCAGCCCGAGGCTATTTTTATATATTATTGTGCCCATCTTTCTACTTTTAACTTGATTTTAAGTACCCTATTCTTTGATCAAGGTGACTATATGGTCCATTCAGGAATATTTATATCATTTCCGTTTTTCTCATCTGCAAGTCTTAAAAAATATCACCACAAATGTTCAATTTCACCAAGTGGTGATTGCAAAGGGAGGGAAGGAGGAGAAGATGAAATTGACCCAGACTTTCCTCATCTGAGGGCTTCTGAGCGGCCTGGGTCACTAGAATTGTGGGGTAGTATTGCTCTTGTTTTATGAAGTTCTGCTTTTTCTTCTCAGAGACCATGTGAGAGCGATGGAGGAAAGGAAGTTACTTCACAGTTTTTTGGCTAAGTCTCAGGAAGGTCTGCCCCCTAGGAGAATGAAGGACAGTTACATCGAAGTTCTCTTGCCTTTGGGCAGTGAGCCTGAATTACGAGAGAAATATTTGACAGTTCAAAACACTGTAAGGTAATGTGGCACTGTTTTTATTTGTGTTATTTGCTTTAGTAACTACTTTGAGGTGTAATCCATACAAGTCACCTATTTAAAGTGTACAATTCTGTGGCTTTTGGTATATTCACAGAGTTATGCAACCATTACCGCAATCAATTTTAGAACATTTTCTTCACCACAAAGTGCATTATTTATGTTTAAATAAATATCATTATGATTTTTATTTAACTTACAGTTTTCTTTATTTCATAGGTTTGGCAGGATTCTTGAGGACCTTGACAGCTTAGGAGGTACTAGTATTATTATTTGCAATATTCCTAATACATCTTCTAGTTATATATTGAAACCTATGACTGAAAAGAGCCTTTTTACTCTTTAAACTGCACAGATGAGCATCTTCTAAAAGCACAGAAAATGAAAGACTTCTACTACCTTTGAATTTTCCTAATTTTCTCTCTGTAGACATAGATTCCTATTTAAGGAGTAATAGTCTGAATAAGGTTTCTTACAATTTTTATTTTTATTTTGGTCACAGAGGATTAAAGCCAGGTCCTCTTGCATGCTAAGCATGTGCTCTACCACTAAGCTACACCCGCAGCCCTCTGATAATTTTTTAAGAGTCTTACACTTACAAAAGAGTTGCAGATACAATATAAAGACTTGTTTTTCCCTGAATCCTGGGAGAGTAAGTTACTGACACGATGCCAAGTCAGACCCAAATATTTTAATGTGTATTTCGTATAAAGAAGGACATTCTCCTACGTAAGCATAGTAGAGCTGCCAAAGTCAGGAGATCAACACCGATGTGTTCCAATGCCTAATCCTCACACCCCATTCAACTTTTGCCAGTGGTCCTTTATCTCATGAAGATCCTATTTGGAATCCTATGTTGCATTTACCTGTCATGTCAGAAATAGTTCCTTAATCTGTCCTTGACTTTCATGATTTTGACACTTTTGAAGGCCACAGGCCAATTCTTTGGTGGTGTCCCTCTTTTTGGATTTGTCTGCTGCTTCCTCTTGATGAGCTTCTGAATCCCCATCTTGGGCAAGATGTCACCAAAGGGATGTGCTGTACATACTGCGTCCCACGAAGTGGTGCATGAGTTTGTTTGTCCCGTTACTGAGGATGTAAACTTTGGTCACTTGAGGAAGGTGATTGATGTCTGCCAGATTTCTGTATTCTTTCTCCCTTTGTAGTAAATAAATACATTGTAGGGAGGTACTGTGAGCCCTTATAAATGTCCCCTTCCTCATCAGACTCTTGGCTTTTTATTGTTATTACTATTTGCAGTGATGGGAGCTGAACCCAGAGCCTTGTGCATGCTACATGCTAGGCAGGTGTGCTCCCACTGAGTTACATATCCAGCCCCTCAACATACTTTTTTATTTGGGCGGTATTGAAGATTGAACCCAGTGATTTGCACGGAGCTACAGGCCCAGCTCTTTTTGAGTCAGGGTCTCATTAAATCAGTGGCAAGTAAAAGGCGAAAGATTTATACGATCTGAAGAGAAACCAGAAAATCATTAAATCAGTAAATAGGTTGTGCTCCAACTTGTGATCCTCCTGTCTCAGCCTCCCTGAATGCTGGGATTACAGGTGTGAGCCACCATGTCTGGGTCAGTTACTATTTTTAAGTCACTGTAGACTCAGCAATTCTTATTTTATTTACTTATTTTTTGAGAGAGGGTCTTGCTAAGTAGTCCAGGCTGGCCTTGAAATTCGATGTGCAGCCCAGGCCAGAATTAAGAGATGTGCTCTACCACACCCAGCTCCTGGTTGCTATTTTACTGAGTAGGTCATATGTTACTGTCTTTTGTTTGGATGCTCAAATCATCCCATACCACCTCAGTCCTTTGAAGCTAGTTTCTGTTTTTTCAATACATCCTTAGCATTCTCTGAGCACTTCCTCACTTTCTGGCACAGTGGCATATTCTAGGCTCCTTCCCTGGCCTAGTGCTCCAGCCAGCCAACTGCAAGGAGCCCTGGTTCTTTTCAGTGGAGAATGATATTGAGAACGCAGGCTGCTGGCTGTCAGCACTTGCACATGTTCTCAGTGGAAGAGCTGGGGAATTGAGGTGCATGTGTACACCGTTACATCTGTCTGCTTCCTCATTCTACAGCTGGGTTCTACTGGTAGTGATGAGGAAGGCAAAATTTAACACAATCTAAATCTTAAGTACTAGATGAAACACTGAAGGCCACAACTAATGCTGTCACCTTCCCCTTAATTTTCCCCCTCCCCGTGGCAGCTGTGCTTTGCCCTGACAACTCTGTTCCTATATGTAATGGTTTTTGCTACATCCTGTTTCTGTGGGAGCCCGATTCTCTTCCGGAATACCCAGATGTGCTAAGTTACAAACTGTCATTGCTTGAGTAACTGCCTTTGTTCTGCTTCTGTAGCTTCTGTATAAAAAGAATAGCATAATCCTTGCTTGGGGCTCAGAATTTGGAGTGGCAAACTCTGAACCTGCTAGTGCAATAAACCTTGGTTACCCTCCATCTCTCTGAGGGCCGCTTGGTTTATTCCTGCACTGTTCCTACCGTTATAGTGGCTCCAATTCCAGCTCTACACCACTGAGCTAAATCCCCAGCCCAGAAAGGCTTTTAAATGGACTTTTTTGCCTTTCACTTCTATTGTGTCCTATAGCAGGTGCATGGATGGAAAGATTTGCTGTCACTAAACAAATAACTACTGAATTTATACCCTGCCTTGAGGGTGGGTGATACACATCTGAATGGATTATGGGGAAGAAATGTTAAGTTTAAATGAATTGATGTGCATAGAACCATGTTTGGCACATAGAAATGTTTGTTAAGATGGGCAGAGGGTACAGAAGATGAAGGCACAAAGTGGGAGCCAAGGGTGGTGCTGGGAAGGAGAGATAGTGGAGTGAAATAACTGCTTCATGATTAGGAAAGAGTTAGGAAGAAAACAGCTGAGTCCTTGTGATTTGCTCTCTTTTCTGAAGATGTTTGCTACTGTCAGACTTACACTGCGTTCTTATTCTTATTGAATCCCTGTGTCTCTGTGGGGTGGTGACAAGCCATGTAGTGGGCCTGGGCTTTGGGTTTTGGATTTCTCACTCACTCTAAATGTGAGGTAGCAGTCAGATGGTAGGATCGCCAGATTACAGTACTTCAGTTTTTAAAAGTATTTGGTTCTAGGATTAGATCACTGGTAGATTATCAGGGATTGGTCTTCAAGACAAGATTTTTTTATGAATTTCAGGGAGAAAATCGCAAATGTTGATAAATGATTTTGCTTTTCTCTTATTTGATATTCTCCTGATTTCCTACAGTTCTTATTTGCTACATGCACACCAAAAATCATGCAACTAAGATGTCCCCTTTATCAATAGTTACAGCCCTGGTGGACAAGATTGGTAAGCAGTATCAATTTCTATGCACACCTGGAAGTTTTAGTAATTGTAAGATATTGAGATTGGATGAAATAGTCCCCTTTATAGGGAATTTTAATGTGTATATGTGTGTGTGTGTGTGTGTGTGAAAATATCTAGAATGCATTATATCAAGATATTTATTATAATTCTGTGGAAGGATTTTTGCATGATTCTGGTTTTGTTTTTTATATGCTTGGCACTGTCTACAGTTTTTGAATAGACATAGCAAATTTCTTTTGTATGTTAAAAAAGTCATGCAAGTTTTGAAGACAAGATAGAAATGTAGTAGAATTTGACAAATTTTTGAATGATATTGTCCATTTACAGTACAGAGAGTTTTCAGTATGGTTTGGACACAGACTGATTCTCTCTTTTACAGATATGTGTAAGAAGAGCCTAAGCCCAGAACAGGACATTAAGTTCAGTGGCCATGTTAGCTGGGTTGGGAAGACATCCATGGAAGTGAAGATGCAGATGTTCCAGGTATATATGCACCTGAAGATTGTCCAGTATTGTCACATACAACCAGCTAATCTCAGTGGGAGAATAGTTTTATTTACGTATCTATTCAGAGGTCACCACTTCTAGATAAATCATTGAAAGTTCATGTCATACAGATGGTAGGGTAACATCCTCCTCCCAAAGACTGACACAGTGTTTGATGTTTACCTTTTAATATTTATTATTTTCTAATCATATGCCACTCCATGTTAAAGGTGCTTGTTTCTGGTTTTCCCTGGGAGCATTTCACAAAAGTCTGAGTTCTGTGACACATGTGTCTTAGTCCTAGTTGCTGAGACACAATGCCCAACACCCACAACTTAAAGTAGGAAGAGTTTATTTGATTTGATTTAGGCTTAGGGTCAGTGGTCAGCCGCCCCAAGGCAGAAGCAGCATGGTGGAAGGGCCTAGCCGGAGGAAAGCTGCTTCGGTCCTGGCTCTGGTCTCTGCTGAAGCAGAGAGGGAAGAGAGGAGTCGGGGTGGGAACCTTCCAGGTCACGCCCCTGTGACCTGCCTCCAAGCAGACCCCGCCTCCTGACAGCTTGTTCAACACTGCAGCTTTTGGGTGATGCCCCAGAGCTAATCATAACCACATGCATGGGATTGATCACTGTGTTCATTTCTTAGGGTCGCTTTGCCACCAACTATCACACGGTACTCCCAATTGGTGGCATAAAAATAGCAGAAATTTATTGTCTTGGTTTGGTGGCTTTAAGTTTAAAGTCAAGGTGTCAGCAGGGCCATGCTCTCCGAAGCCTGCAGAGAGAAGCCTTCTTGCCTCACCTTTGCTACTTGCAGCTTGCTGGCAATCTATGGCTTGCAGCTGTAGCCCTGATTCAGTCTCTGTCCCCATCATCACACGGTCTTTTCCTCTTGTGGCTGTCTCTTGTGTCCTAGTAGGATACTAATCCTTACTGTGTTAAGGGCTCAGCCTCCTTCAGTATGACCTCCTCTTTATTGTAATTGTCCCTTTTCCAATTAAAATCACATTCATAGGTCTGAGGGTTAGGACTTCCACATATATTACCAGGGGGCACAATGGGACCCGTAACCACCATTTAGGTGGCAGTTAGGAACAGCCAGCCCCCTCTAGCGAGCAAAACTGAGAATAGCTTCATAAACAAATGACATATTTGACAAGTACTCCAAAGAGAGTAATAGTACAGAAATTAAATATTCAAGGTATGTCCAAGATTCGCTGTGGAAAACTTAAATAAGTTATGCCAGGGTCTTCAATAGACCCATTGTTCAGATGCATTTGTTCCTGCCATGGAATTATGAAGCATTTTACCTTTTAATGGAAGAAAATTTTCTGCTTTCATAATAAAAAGCCTGAAGGAGCCGGGCGTGGTGGCGCATGCCTGTAATCCCAGCACTCGGGAGGCTGAGGCAGGAGGATCGCTGTGAGTTCGAGACCAGCCTGGGCTACATAGTGAGTTCCAGGGCAGTCTCAACTACATAGTGTGACCCTGTCTCAAAAAAACAACAACAAAAAAAGTAGAACTGAAATCGGGAGCGAGTGAGTCTTGCTGCTTATTCTTTTTCCACTGCCTGAAATTCCCTGTGCCCTGGCTCCTCATGGCCACGGTCCCTCTGTGCTTCTGCGTCACTTCATCACTTCCTGATTTGCCCAACTCAAAGCACCTGTTCCTTCCCCAGAGCTGCTGCCTCAGGACCTTCTGTCTGACCTCTTTCCTGGTACATGCTCCTCTGTCCTGCAGTATGCAAACGCTCTTCACCAGCAGGCCCTGGGTGTGAGGCAGCCAGCCCACTTCCTGACATCATCCATGTAACATTCACTTAGCAGTTGATCACTGTGTACCTAATCCATGTGTAGCAGGGAGCAGTGAGCAAACACAGTTCCTTTCTTTCAGCGTTGGTGCTCTAGTAGTGCTCCGTAATGACCTGCCTTGTTCATCCGTTGGCAAACATTGATTAGCTGCTATCTGCCAGTCTTTGTGCTGAGTTCTGGGTATACAGATGTGAGGAAAAGTGGACTTTATCCACACAGAGCTCACCATACGTCGAGTGACAGCCACTCAAATGATTATATTATTAGGTACATTTCTCAGTAGGGACACTATTAACATTTTGTGCAGGAAGGTTTTTTTTTTTTTTTTTTT